CTTTGGAGACATCATTAATATAAATAATTTTTCTGGCCGTTGAATAAGAATTTTTTTTTTCACAAGAAACGTATAAAATTACAGTACTGTATTAGACTTACAGTACCTAATTTATATACTGTACAGACGATAGTAAACTCAACTTAACCTCCTAAACTTACCCGTCCACTATTGGTCCAGATTCGACCAATCCTGTCGCGACACGAGTCGGCGATGACGTATTGCCGCATTTTACGAGTCTCTATTAGTGTCTTTATACGAATACGGGCGCAATTTTTTCGCCGCAATATACGAATCCGCATTATATGAATCCGCGTTATAGGGAGGTCTACTGTATGTATAAACTATAAAGTAATCTTTACATTTTTATCTTTCTTAAAACTGATTTAAACTTATATTATTTAAGTACTATTTAGCTTTTTAACTTAAGTAAATACTGTTTTTTACTTTAGCTAAGCACTCAAAATGTTCGTCCATTTTGGAATATAGCCCATATGGTAAATTCCATCGATGAGATAGAAGAATATTTAGATGAAGGTGCCAATGCTATAGAAGCAGATGTTACCTTCGATTCCGATGGTACTGCCAAATTCATGTATCACGGTTTTCCGTGTGACTGTTGGCGTTATTGTTGGAGAAGTTCATTGCTTTTTCGATACTTATTGAAAGTAAAAAAATTGACAACGCCAGGTAAATTTATATATTTATTTTTCTTTGTTTAGTGAGACAATTGGCACAAAATTCTCATTTAATAACACCATAAATATCAATTTGTAAAATGCTTTAAAATAATTTCTTAATTATCTAAGTTTTAATTATTTGTTATTACAGTATATTTTTATTCAACGTTATTTATTCAAACATGTTTATAACTTATTGATAAAGTACTTTATCTTAATGTTTAAATTCAGAGATGAAGGCTTATGAATGTAGATATCATTAATAAAAGTAAATTCTAAATTATTTTCAATCACATTATTTAGATGATCCTAGCTATAAAGAAAACTTTACATTATTACAATTGGATTGTAAAATTTCATCTTTAAATTCTGACTGGTTGAGGATTAAAGCAGGAAAAGATTTGGCTAAGAAAATGGTCATATTTTTATGGGAAAGAGGTAAATTTTATTTTATTTAAAATTTTAAGTTTTTCTAAAATCATCATCTTCATCATCGTAAATAATTTCAGTTTAAGCCTGGAGCTTAATCTTAACTATTTTTTGGTCATTCTGAGTTTCGTTACACGTGTAGCACATTCGTCGTCATACCATGTGATGCACATTGGATGCTAGTTTTTTATGTGTTATATGAGTATGATGCTCAAAAATGTGTCGGTATTTAATGACAAGGAAAGTGAAGCCTCTCCTTGTCATTAAATATCAACACTTCGATATTACCAAAAGTAGTTGAGAATAAATTTCCTATTTGTTTTAAGGTTGAGGTATTCTATACATTAATCATAAGCAATCGGCAGCCAGGTCACACGCGTCACGCAAAGACCTAATAAGCGGCCCGAAGGCTTCGACAGAGTAATTTTATTTTTCTATTCTCAAGCATATGCCATTAAGAAACCATAATTAAGCTGATATTAGTAAACGTTCAAAACACATTCAAACTAAATTTGACCAGTAGAAAGATGATAATAAACCACTGATATATATTACTAGTTTGAATGTCATTAGCAATATTAATTTAGAACGTAGTGTACTGGCGGTTATATATTATATCCGTACTCGGCAGGTTTAAAGCCGGCAACACGTCAAGAAAAAATACAGCTACGACTTACTTAACTTTCTCGACAACATTTAAAACTGCGTGTGGCGTCATCTGTTAAAAGTTTATATTAAATAAATTTTTATATAATTAATTATCTTAAAATGACAAAAAGCTTAATTTTGAGATGAGTTTTATAAAAAATTGCAAATGCTATTAAATTAAATTAAAAAGTAAAATCTTAATTAAACCCGATTCTACTCGAGATATGACACACGACCCTCTTATATCTCCCCATTCCCTCGACCATTAACCACCAAAATTTAACAGCATCAATGACCCAAATACACAGTCCTCCTTGCAAAATTTCAGAGATTTTCTACAAAAAGCACGGGAGTTACTAAGCTTCAAATAGGGTGAACAAAATCGTGCTCCTTACATACAAACATTCACATATACTACATACACAGAGATGCACTGCCATCCATACATATAGAAACTCCCTTTTTTGCATTTCTCAACGTTTCAAGGTCCCTCAGTCCAAAAATTTGAAAATCTTGGAAGGATTATTTTTTGATCGAACTTTATAATTTTCCTCTGTTCTATATAACAGAGTCGAAAAAGTAAAAATGTATGTGGACTGCAAAGTTTACTTGCGGCTCGCATCACTGTAAGCTCCATATACTACTTTTACGAGTAAGAAGTTTATATTAAAAGGTAATTTCAGTATGGTTCTTGTTCATTCTGCTGATGATGAGGATAATGATAAAAACAGTGTTTGAAAATACATCAGTACTAAATTATTTTCCATATTGTTATTTTAAAACAGGAAAATAAATATAATAAGCTGTAATTTTTTATAATTTTAGGTCATTCCAAAAGTCAAGTTTGGATTTTATTGAGTATTCCTCATTCGAATCACGTCAATTTTATTAGGAGTTTCCGTGAAACGCTACAAGAAGAAGGATTATCCGATTTAGAAACAAAAATTGGTCAGAAAAGTTAAAAATATCTATTTAAAATAATTCATTATATCTTATAATAAGGCAATATTTTTAAAAAAATAATTAACTTGTTGCTATTTTTTATAAACACATTTTACGTGCAGGTTATGATATATCAGGTAATGAAGATCCTTTGAAAATAGAAAATGCATTATTGAGTGTTGGCGTTAACAGCTCTATATGGTTTTCTGATGGCATAACTAATTGCATACCAAGATCAATTTCGAGACTGAGATTTATAATTGATAAAAGAAATTCTCTAAGTAATTTGGTTAATAAAGTATACTTTTGGACTATAGACAGAGAAAACAATTTAAGGAAAGCTTTACGGTAATTTACGATTTTTGTCTTGATAAATAATAATTTTTTGAACCTTTCTGCCCTATGGGTACTGAGATGGCCTTTTTCACGTATCCATTAAGAGTTCAGCCAGACCCACAAAGAGACCAGAATGGTGAGGTACGGGATCCAACATATCCTGGAAAATTTCCTGGAGAGTTACTCGCCCGGATCCCCAGAGCAATAGATCCTTAACTGTCTCGGCCATCTGACCGTTTAAATAATACTATCATCATCACAATTTAATAATTTATATTTAATTTTTCAGAATGGGCGTCGATGGAATCATAACTAACAAGCCTCGAAGACTGCATAATATATTAAACAGCGAAGAATTTAAGCACACTTATCGTCTATCAAGTATTACAGATAATCCATGGACAAAAATAATAGGTCCTTCAAAATACTACGTCAGATCCGATGATTACTATTTTGTCGAATGCAATAAAATTTTTCACACTTATAAATATTACGGACTCATAGAAAAACGTTAATTAAGTATTTTATAATTATAATGTTTGAAATTTTAATTAAATATTTGAATTATAAACTTTTAATTAATTATAACTTCATAATTCAGATTAATTAAAGTTTGATAATTGAAATAATTATATCAAAGTTAAATTAGTTTAATATGCAGGACGTTTTATGATTTTGTATTATACAGAAATTATATTTTATAAATTGTATTTAATTGAAATATAAAAGATTTAATGTTAGATATAGATCTAAATTTAAGAAATTTAATTGTAATATAAATTTTGTTTTTAATTTTTTTATACTTGATGTAATTCATGTGATAAATAAAATTATTGTCAGTGTAAATTATAAAAAAATAACTGTATCTAGAATTTTTTACGATACATGCAATATACTTTTTATTGCTTATTATTTTGCTGATTTTCAGATGCTTTTTGCTCCTCAGTTGTTTTTTTATTTTTTTTATTTTTTGTATATTTGTGGCACTTGAAAAAGGCCAATGGCCACATTGTCTTTTGAGATTAAAGAGATTAAAAGGGAAAACTTCTCGCGCGCGCGTGTTGGCGTCTAATTTGTTTAATTTCTTTATTCTGTGTTCTGAGTTATTAAACAATATCTCAGAACACAGAGTAAAGTTTAAGAAACGAAATTTGGCACTGTAGCTTGTGTATAAAGGGGCATTAATGCTATTAAATTTTGGTTCTTAAAGATCGACAGGGTGGAGACATAGAAGAGGTCATATGTCATATCTCCAGTGTCGTAGAACTTAATGAATATTTTACTCGTTATTAATTTTTTTTAAAATAAAACTTGTCTCTACCCTCAAAATTAAGCTTTTTGTCATTTTATAATAGTAAGTAAAAACCCGTTAAGATGTTCTCGTCTAAGATGTTAGAATGTGTATGGGGGCACGATTTAGTTCAACCACTTTTAAGCTTAATAACTCCGGTGTTAAACTGCCCGACTCCGATTTAAAAACCACAGAAGTTATTAGGCTTCAAGCAGGGTGAACAAAATCGCCCCCCACATACAGTCTAACATCCATACATACAGGAAAAAGAACGAATCTTTTGCCTATCTCGACATTTCAAGGTGTCCTGAGTCTAAAAATGTAAGAATTTGGGAGGGGTCATTTTTTTGACCGATCGCTACAAAAAGTTTCTACGTTCTATCTTTATTATAACTCTATTTATTGAATATTTTATTCTGAGGTCACGTTGTGACATCAGAATTTCCGGGTCTATTTTGGTAACAAATCCTTCCCTGGTAGGAGTTGGAGTCGGTAGATTTTTACACGACTCCACAGCCCTATTTCTCACTGACTGTTTTCTGTACTTATTTTCAATATTTTATATTAAAATGTTTATGATAATTTTTTATATTTTATTTATACTAGTATAATTATAAAACTTTTATATTTTTTATATATTGTATTTTATGTTATATTTTATTTTTCTAAACTGGCTAACTAACTTTTGATGATTTCTGGAGGTTTTTATCAACAGGCGATTTTGCTTGAAAATACCGTAATTTTGTTTTGCTAATTTTGTGTCTGTGAACTTTGCCGTTTCGAACATCACTAACGTGACAATGATCAAACTGCACGGATATATGTATGTAGACATCATTGAAAAGTCACGAATGTTCCTGGCAGGTCACTGATATGTATGAATAGCCCATAAGATGACCATTCTAACAATCTTTAACATCGGTCACAGACTCGGGCTCGATATCGTGTCTGTTTAGTGGGAAGGTATTCGAATTTAGTACAAAGTGAACTAGTATAAAGTTTATCTACGACTTGGCATCAGTACCTATTAATACCCAACTTGTCAATTACTGTCGGATTACTGGACGTGTCGAACTAGAGAACGTCCGGATGGCAAGATTGTGCTGTAATTACTCATTTTATTCTTTTTAGTGACATTTTAAATGTTGAAAGAAAAATATTTTAATAAAACTCATATACCCACTGTTAAGTTTACGACTACAACACTAATTATAATTTCTGATACAGAGAAACAGAGAAAATTATTGTGCTGTTTTGTGAGAAAATGGATTTTAGAGTTAACAACGTTTGTATGCAGTGAAAATATTTTATTAGTGGAGTTTTTGTTTAATTATTATTAGTTTCTTAATGGTATTAATTGGAATATACTTTGCTAAAGAAGAGCCTGAAGAGAATGACCATTTTTAGTTAACATTTCTGTTTCGTCGTGTGAGAACTAAGCTTTACTTTATAATGCATTTATATATTTGACCTTAAATCTGTTGATTAAAAATCCTGACGTCTCAAATGTTTGATATTTATTATTACTCAATTGCATATGTGAAATTCAAGTCAGGTCTCTATCATTAGATTTTTTCGATAATAACCGAATAAAATACTCTGAAAAGCACTTACTTCACTACAGGAATTTAAAAAAGAAAACTTTATGGCTATCACGTCATATTTCACTTTATCAAACACCATGAAAAACTAAATCCTACTTAAAGTTTCTTCGTTTATAAAATATAAGAATTATTACAATAAATATTTAAGAAGATTAATATCAATATATCAAATAAATGAGAAATAATAATAATTTAAAATGTGCATTAAGTAAATAGATGGAAAGCTAGAATTGTTCAATAAAAGATAATAAAAAAGCTTTTTCTAGAAAAATGTTTTATTATTCTATCCAGCAGTGGCAGAATGGATAAAACCAATGGAACACTGATAACTGGCCAGTTATCAGTGTTCCATTGGTTTTATCTATTCTGCCTGACTTCTTGCTTGACTAATAAGCTAATTCTGCCTGAATTCTTGCCTGACTAATAAGCTAGCCGCCTGGAGATTTCTTCACGTGACAGATACTTACATAACAGCCAGCCGCCTCCAGTTTTTTGTTAAAAAGTTCTTCCGGGAGGCATTCTCTTTTATTATTCAATCCTACCAAATCAATCTTTATTATTCTTTAAAGAGCTACAAGATAATTTCGTTTTATATTTACAATTTCATTTATTCACTTATCCACTAAACGAATTTTAATTCTCCAATACAGTATTAATAAATTTCTTCAAAATAAGAAAATAAAGAATTTTATGTCTTTTAGACTGCTTTGAAATTTTCTATTCTAAAATTTTACAATGTTTTCGTATACTTGCACTATCAATTTCGACATTATTAATACAAAAAATCTCAATACAATGTCATTGGAATTTAAGTAAGCTTATCATTTCTGGGGCAAAGTTTCCAGCAAATAATTCCATAACAGTATATTAAAATTTAGAAAAATAGGTCTAGACTCGACATTAACTGAAACAGAAACTGACAATAGAAACTGAAATTTATATACAATAATTCTATTTCAGTTTAGTTTTAGTTTCAACTAAGTATCAAAACATTACAAATCTGTAAATATCATTAATTGAAATCTTTTGATTTCTTCAGTAAATTTTATAATACTTTATTTTAATTTCTATGCATATAGTAAGATTAATTAATTATTATTTTTGTATTTCAAAATCATATAAAATAAAGATCAAGAAAATTGGACTTCACTGTATAAAACTGTTCAGCATAGGCCTATTTCAAATAAAATAATATGAAATTTAAATATGATGTATTTTTTCTGTGAACTATATTGACAGTGATTTAGCATATAGAGTGACATACATTACTATTGACAAATATCCTTGTAGTATTGAATTTTGCAAATATAAAATTTGAATATATTTTATATTGATCAAAAATCCGACGAAAGTATCAGAAATAAATGAATAAATGTAAATTATATTGTAAAGATGGACAGAGAATGAATAGAATGTCAACCGTGATTTAATATGAATTTTAAGATGACATTTTTGTCCTTGAATGATACTTGTTGTCTTGGTTATCTTAAATTTTCTCCCGCATAAAGGGCTATTCAGAATGAAACCAAGCAGAATGCCATCTTGAATAATAAATAACGAGATGTGAAAACAGTTAATTAATGTGACAAAGTTCGCGATAAAATCACGAAGAGACTTAATTGATTTATTTTATTATATATTTGAATATATATATATATATAACCTATATAATATCAATCGCATTTAATCTTTGATACTACAACATGTTCAAGAATTTTAAGTATGAATGCTGTTCATAAAGGTCGTCAAGTATTTAACGCTGTCTAGTCAGAGTTACTTTACTTGAAGTTCTAAACTTCAAGACTGAAGATCACAACGCAAAAGCAAACTCATTGCAATAATTAATAGACAGTTCAACGAGAAAAATAATAATTATACATATTTAAGTATTTTCTAAAAAATAATTAATAAAGTTTCGCAAATTACACGAATTCTGTAATAAGAGAAATAATAAAACAATGATTTTAAGTTTTTGAACTTTGTACAAATGCAGAAAGTATATTAACCATGGAAGCATTCATATTTGTTCAAAGGCAAGTCATAATACCGTAACAAAAATAACAATAATTGAGCTGCAATTTGAAAAAATTGTAGGCTTATAAATTCCCAATGTCGTCCGTCCGTCTGTCTATCTCTGTTTTTCCTTAATCTCGAGAAAGGAATTAGATACATGAAAGACAAGGTCAGCTATGGAAACCTTAGGGGCACGATGCCCCGATTAACTATATATGAACTTCCTATACAAATCGAAAGTCAGGTTATTTCAATTCGAACACTTTCTCCTGGAAGATGTTAAATAGGCCGGCACGACTATTGTTAAAGGTACAGTACATGATGTACAGGGGCAAGNTAGATACATGAAAGACAAGGTCAGCTATGGAAACCTTAGGGGCACGATGCCCCGATTAACTATATATGAACTTCCTATACAAATCGAAAGTCAGGTTATTTCAATTCGAACACTTTCTCCTGGAAGATGTTAAATAGGCCGGCACGACTATTGTTAAAGGTACAGTACATGATGTACAGGGGCAAGCCACTACTAATTTGAGGTGGAGAGCATATATTTTAAATTAAATAAATTAAAAATATGATTAAAAATTGCAGTCCGGCATTGTGACGATGTTTTATTTTTTCCTTATTGAGAGAAATTAATTAAAGTGAATCTAATGCAT